GAGGGGGGATGAAGGAGGAGGAGGATGAGGAGGAGGAGGAGGAAAAAGGAGGATGAGGAGGAGGAGGAGGAGGAGGAGGAGGAAGAGGAGGAGGAGGAGGAGGAGGAGGAGGAGGAGGAGGAGGAGGAGGAGGAGGAAGCCATGGCGTCTGCTCCAGGTGGAGGAGCACAACACGGCATGCACATTGTCTTTTGGTGGTCTGCGCGGATTCCTTGGACCTGTGAGCCCCTGCCTGGCGCAAGGAGCGTTCGACTGTCGGCGCCGGAAGCGCCGCCAGGGGTGGCTCCAGCGCCGATCCAAGAAATCCGCGCAGAGCTCCGAGAATGTATGGTTCTGTAGTTGTTTTTTTTTCCCCTCGAGGGAAGGAGGAGGCCGTGGCGCCTGCTCTGAACGAGGAGGAGGAGGAGGACGAGGAGGATGAGGAGAAGCAGCAGGAGGCGAAGGAGAGCCAGGAGCGGCGGCAGCTGCGGCGGCCGTTCCTCCTCGGAGACCGCCTTCGGCTTCTGCTGGTCGCGGGTGCCGGCCGGTGTTGACAGAGCTGGAGCCTGGCGAGCCGCCCACTAGTTCAAGTGCGCATGGGGCGACATTGACTTCAGAAGCATCCTATCGCAGCGATGAAACGAAGCCAAGACAGGGAGAAATCCAGACCAAAACAAGTAGGGGATCTCGGAGAACCGGCGTTCGTCAGATGTATCGGGCGCCGCGGCCTGCTGAGAGCGTTCCGGAGCGCTCTGGAACGAGCTGATCCCTGTCCCAACCCCGCCCGAAATAAGATTCCGCTTGCACTGCCTACTCAATCGAAATTGCAGTTTAGTGCGGGAGTTCGGCGGGGCAGTCTGCGACGGACAGGAATAGCCTGTCACAAGTGCGATGGTCTTTTGCATGATGGCAGCAACGAGCGATCCGAGCGGAAATGCAGCTCAGCACTGCCGCATGGTGAACGTTTTGTTTTTTTCGGCGTTTCGACATTGGGCGTAAGGGGGGAGGTCTGGCCCTGGACCTTTGCTTAGTGCGACTGTTTTGGACTGTGCGTCCTATGGGGGAGGCTCCACCTGCTCGAAACAGGCGCCAAAAAGCAGCCAAGACCTACTCTAGGGGGGGAGGGGGGATGCGAGGGCCCGCGCCGATCGGCAAAACAAGAAATAACAAAAAGCTCACCATGACGCTTGCATCTTCGATGTCTGGAGCAGCCGTTGCAACCTCGCTCGGAGCTGGCACGCTCGAAACTGGCGGAAGCCACACGCGCGCCCAACCGCGAGTCTGAGCCACCCCTCCTCGCGCGTCTCACCGCCTCTCCCTCTGCTCGCCATCGCTCGGACGCCCATTCCACGTGCACTTCTCGGCTTCATGCGTGTTTTTGTTTGCCAGATGATCCTGGATGCTCCTCTCGAGGTCTCCTAGATGGGGTCGAAGTAAACGGGGGCGGAGGATCGCACCGCATCTCCGATACATCGGCGATGCATCAGCGATGCATCGTCGACGTCGGCGATGCATCGGCGACGTCGACGTGGAGCAATTCGGGCTCCACATCGAGCCTCATCGGCGATGCATCGGCAATGCGGCGCGATCCCCCGACCCCATCCGCTCCGACCTCATCCAAGAGGCCTGGGTCCTCGCTGGTCCTCGCCGAGGAAAAAACGCACACGCCCGAGCCATCCCTCCTCTCACATCTCACCGTTTTTCTCCCGCGGACGGCCCCAGGATTAAGTCGGGCCTGTCCCCCAACAGGCCGATTCTGGACGAAATATAAAGAATGCCCCACACATGCTCCAAGCATACTTTAACATACCGAAGCAATAGTCCCCAAACGATTGTTTGACTATTTTGGAATATTCCTCCTACAGGGGGACAGGCCCGACTTTAACCCCAGGACCTGCCCCCCAAAGCCGCATCCTGCCATCGCTCGAACGCCCCTTCCCCCGTGACATGCTCGGCGCCGTGCCCCTTTTTTTTGGCTCGCGGGAGTCTCCACGCTGCTCCTGGAGGGTCCTCGCCGAGTGCAGAGCCCTCCTCCTCCCTCCTCCTCCCCCCTCCCCTCCTCCTCCTCCTCCCCCTCCTCCTCCTTCCTCCCCACTCCTCCTCCTCCCCTTCCCTCCCCTCCCCCCTTCCTCATCCTCCTCTCTCTCCTTCCTCCTCCTCCTCTCCCTCCTCCTCCTCCTCCCTCCTCCTCCTCCCCTCCTCCTCCTGCTCCTCCTCCCCTCCTCCTCCTCCTCCTCCCGCTCCTCCCCCTCCTCCTCCTCCTCCTCCCCTCCTCCTTCCTCCTCCTCTTCCTCCTCCTCCTCCTCCTCCTCCTCCTCCTCCTTCTCCTCCTCCTCCTCCTCTCGGAATGATAAGGCGCTCCCAGCGAAAGGGTCGGGACTACTGGGGCCCTCGCGGTTGGCTGCGCACACGTCATCGATGTCGCAATCGGTTCCTGGGACGAGTTTTAGGCCGAACGGTTTCCCGTAAATTTCCCGACGCTCCAAGAGGACCCAGGAGGCCCCCAAGAGCGCTCCAAGACTGCCGTCGGCGAGCGAGCGCTCGCGAGCGAGGGGGGGGGGGCCCTGGGCCGTGCCGAACGGTCGGAGGGCGTGGGGAGGAAACGGAGGAAAGAGAAATACAGTGGAGGCCAGTCCACAAGAAACCTTCCGCAAGAAGCCCAACCCTGAGACCCCAAGACGTCCATCGACTTCTGGTGTGGTAGCGTCACGTTCTCAATAGCAAAACCATCGAAACCCAAGAAACCCAGGACGCCCTGGAGGCAAGCAGGGTGTTCCTTGGCACGAGCCTCCACTGTAGAAGAAAGAGAACTATGCACATACGGCAGGTTCGCGTCGTGTCGACCCCGACGTTGGTTCCTGACACCGCGAGGATTGTTCAAACTTGTCGCCCGCGCTGGGGTCGCCGCCGGTCGACACGACGCGAACCTGCCGTACACCGATTCTGGCCACGTCCAGCCTGAGCCCAGGATCAGTGCATACGCCCTCCTACAGTGGCCACGAAAACACATGCACCAGTCCTGGGTCAAGGATGGGATGGGCCTTGCCAGGATCGGTGCATGTGCATAGTTCTCTTCGCCCGACGAAAGGGAGGCGGAAGGCGAAGTCCGAAAACAAGAAAGACCTGCGACCAGGACCCTTCGCGTACCGTGTCTAAGTGGCCACATGTGAACCCCCCCTCCCCACAATTCCTGAGGGGTGGGGTTCACTCCGCTCGGGAGCTCCCGATGAACGTGAATCCCCCCCTAGAAATCCTCCTCCTCCTCCTCCTCCTCCTCCTCATCCTCCTCCCTCCTCCTCTGCGCGCCGCCAGTTCCGGTCCCAGAGCCCCCACATTCCGAGCAGAGGACAGGGCGGGACAGGCGGCGCGCAGAGGAGGAGGGAGGAGGAGGAGGAGGAGGAGGAGGAGGAGGAGGAGGAGGAGGAGGAGGAGGAGGAGGAGGAGGAGGAGGAGGAGAGGAGAAGGAGGAGGAGGAGGAGAGGAGGGGGGAGGAGGAGGAGGGGGCGGAGGAGGCGGAGGAGGAGGAGGAGGAGGAGACGAGGAGGAGGAGAGAGGAGGCGGAGGAGGAGGAGGAGGAGCAGGAGTCGGAGGTGATGATTGATGATGAGGAGGAGGAGGAGGAGAAGGAGGAGGGAGGAGGAGGAGGAAGAGGAGGAGGAGGAGGAGGAGGAGGAGGAGGAGGAGGAGCGGAGGAGGCGGAGGAGGAGGAGGAGGAGGAGGAGATGGAGGAGGAGGAGGAGGAGGAGAAGGAGGGGGAGGGAGGAAGGCTCCTCAGAAGCAGGCTGCTTCTCAGAGGGCGCCGGGCCTTGCGCATCTCCAGGCAAGACCCGCGCCTCCTGAGGAGCAGGGGCGCTTCTAAGAAGCCTCCCCCCATGCCCCATACCCCCTTTTGCGCGTGGCTGAGACCAGGAAGTGGACAGCGTGTCGCGCCGAAGCGCGGTGGGCCAGAACCAGCAGAGCGACACGTCAGCCCAAAGATCCCGACCGTACAGAGGGTGGGAGCGGTCACGTGTCCCCACCAATCCAGCCCCGCAGGCCACCAGCGACTCGGCTTCCCAAGTTTCTGGCGCTTCCGAGGGCCTCAAGGTGGGGCCCAGCCGCCCGAAGAGATTTCCAAGTCTGAAGACGGGCCACGACGGATCCAATCCCAGAGGGCCGCAAGATGGTTTTCAGAGGGACTCAATATGGCCCAGCAGGCCCCTCGAAGGCCTCCGGGCCCCGGGAAGCCCGATGCCCCCAGTGAGCCCCCGAGAGGCTCCCGCCAAGAGAGCTCCAATTAGGTCACTCGAAGGCCTCCTCCTCGAGCGTACCCGTTTCTTTCTTTCTTCCTCCTCCGCGAGCGTACCCGATGTTTGTTCCTCCTCCTCGAGCGCACCCGCGCTCGAAGGCCTCCTCCTCCTCCTCCTTCCTCCTCCTCCTTCCTCTCCTCCTTCCTCTCCTCCTCCTCCTCCTCCTCCTCCTCCTCTTCCTCCTCCTTCCTCTCCTCCTCCTCCTTCTCCTCCTCCTCCTCCTCCTCTTCCTCCTCCTCCCTCTCCTCCTTCTCCTTCTCCTCCTCCTCCTCCTCCTCCTCCTCCTCCTCCTTCCTCTCCTCCTTCCTCTCCTCCTCCTCTCGCTCTTCCTTCCCCCCCTGGCGGCCCCACGACAGGCCAAGGTGCTCCACCCGCGGGCCAGTCTGCCCGAGAGGGGGGCCCGCCGCAGCTCCCCAAAGTCTGCGGGCCCCATGCAAACTCCAGCGTGTGCAGTCGGGGGCTTGACCGAAGGAACCCCACATCAGGAACGAGGCCCCTTGTTTTCCATGAGTAAAACATCGATTTCCGATCGAAAACACCAGGAACACCTGAGGCAAGCTGCGAACACACTTAAGGAACGCGGAGCCCCTCCCCAACGAAAAGGGTTCCTTCTTCAGGGCCCCGACTGTACAGTCAACCCGCAGAGTGAGGATGCGCGACAAGGATGCAAGGCCCTTGGACGCCCATTCCGAAGCCTCCCGAGCGGGGCGCGGCCACCGACAGTGCCCAAGGATGGACCCAGGAGGCAAGGATGCAAGGGTACCCTTGGGAGGGATGCCTATCCTTGCTCTGCGGGTCGGCTGTACCTCGATACGGCCTCAAAAGGTATGTGTTCCGACCCTTTTTCCCTCGTGGGCCGCTCGGGGTGTTGGGCCATCTCGTGGACAACCTCTTCTACGTATCTAAAGTTTAGCGGTTATGCAATTCGTGCCTTTTCGGCCCCAAGGTCATTCGAGGCAGTAGGAGAAGCCCCCAAGAAGGCTCTGAGAGAAGCCCCGAGGGCCCCCCTCCCCCAATCGGCCCTCGAACGGACCCCAGGGACATAATCGGGACTCCGCTTCCTCCTCCCGCGCCGACGCGCCTCAAACCCAAAAGGTTCCCTCGAGGACCTCAAGGGACCTTGAAGCGGCCTGCACACAGCCCCTGAGAGGCCTCCAATTCTCAGGAGGCCCTCTTGGGCTGCCTTGGGAGCCCCTTTTGCGATCTCGTCTTCTGGGCGGGCAACGGGCAAACGTGCAAAGGATGCTAAACAGGTGTGGCACTAGCAGGATTCTCACACAGTGGCTGACGGGGGCGTCTCCCAGCGCTTCTGGACGACCCCCTTAGAGCATCCTGTGAGCCTCGAGGTGCTTCTAGCGGCCTTCCAGATCGTCTCGGGGAATACTTGGCCAGTCCCAAGGACATCCTCGAGCCATCTGGGGAAATCGTGGCGCCCGCTCGAAGCCTTCTTGTCCGCTCGTTGGTCGACGACCCGCTCGCCTCTTTTCTTACATCCAAGCGGCATCCGCTTCAATATTCCCATCAAACGATGGGTCCTTGCCCCGACAAGGCAACGACCCCTTGTAGAAATTATCCGGGCGAAGGACCCGGCCATATGCAGCTGTGAGTACCGTCGTGGTGGGTATCGCAGGGTGGCCCAAGAGCTGACAGAAAGCTGACAGAACTGGCGTCGCTGTTGCACCGTCGTTTCTGTTCGCTTTCTGCCAGCTCTCGGGCCCCAATGTGGCCCTCTTGGGGCCTCCAGGGGGCCCTCTTGTGCCCTCCTGCCCCTCATCAGGACACCATGAGGACACCTCCGAAGGACACCACAATGAGGACGCCACCGTGAGGGCATCATGAGGACACCATAACGGAGACAGCACCATGAGAACACCAACATGAAAACACCTCCGAAGGGCAATACCATGAGGACACCACCATGAAGACACAGAGAACACAATGATGACACCACCATGAGGACACCACCATGAAACGCGTGAAGGATGTGCCAACATGGACGGGGGGGGCGGGCGGCATGCGAACGCAGCCACTGGTGCCTTCGGTGGAGCTCCCTATGGGGCCACGAAGCGTCTTGATGGGGGAAACTCATGCGAACACCGCCGCTGGGGCCTTCGGTGGAGCTCCCTATGGGGCCACGAAGCGCTGTACTGGGCAGGGGGAACGCAGGCGAACACCGTCACTGGGACCTTCGGTGGAGCTCCCTATGAGGGCACGGACCGTGCAAGGGGTGTGCCAAAGTGGAGGGGGAGGCGGCATGCGAATCATGCCACTGGGGCCTTCGGCGGAGCTCCAATGGGGCCACGGCACGTGTGAGGGGCGCGCCAAAGTGGAGGGGGGGGGGGCGGCATGCGACGCTGCTAAGCATGCCACTGGGGCCTTCGGTGGAGCTCCCTATGGGGCGATGAAACGTGAGGGGTGTGCCAAAGTGGAGGGGGGGCGGCATGCGAAGCTGCGAGGCATGCCACTTGGGCCTTTGGTGGAGCTCCCTATGGGGCCACGACACGTGTGAAGGGTGCGCCAAAGTGGAGGGGGGGCGGCATGCGAAGCTGGGAAGCATGCCACTGGGGCTTCGGTGGAGCTCCCTATGGGGCCACGAGACGTGTGAGGGGTGCGCCAAAGTGGAGGGGGGGCTGCATGTGAAGCTGCGAAGCAGCTTCAAGGGGCCTTCGGTGGAGCTCCCGATGGGGCCACGAGACGTGTGAGGGGTGCGCCAAAGTGGAGGGTGGGCGGCATGCGAAGCATGCCTCTGAGGCCTTCGGTGGAGGCCCCCTATGGGGCCACGAAGCGTGTGAGGGGTGTGCCACAGTGGAGGGGGGTGACCGGAGGAGGGAGGAGGGGAAGGAGGAGGAGCGGTGGGGAGGCGACGCGGGGATCCATCTCAATACAGGATGGTTGGGACACACACACACACATTGCTGCAATCTCTCCAAACTACAATCCCGCGTGAAAATTACGGACCCACCATCGCGCAACCATGATCCGGTGCAAAATGCGATGGGTCCGTCTCAGGGGCCTCTTGAGCCGTCTGGGGCCGTCTTGGGTCTCTTTGGGAGCTCGGCCAAGGCCTCTTGAAGACACGTTGGGCCGATAAGCCGAGGAGGCCACACATCCTGAAACAGCGGAAGGTAATCCCACCAGCTTTGGGGCGTAGGTCGTTGAAGGAGTTAGGTCTTTCAACCTCCTTCTTCTCGTTTGGGAAGGAATTTACCTCTCCCCCGACCCCCTTTCTCTGGGCCTGGAACCCTCTGGTCGCATGTCGCTGAAGCGTCCAAAACGGCCTAAGATAGCCCCAGATAAAACAAGGTGGCCTGCAAGATCGCACAAGCTGGTTCAGAATGGCTTCCGACATGCTTCCAAGAGGCGCCCTGGCCGCCCCAACGCAGCCCAACGTGGCCATAAAGCCTGCCTATGACCCCCCCAATACCCCTCCTCCAAATGGCGACGGAGCCGCCAACATCCCTCCCATATCCAAGGAACATGCCTGTTTTTGTGTCTTCTCGTCTTTTCTCTTTCGATCAGCTCTGGAGGCCTCAGGATGGCTCCAAGATCGTCCAGGAGAGCCCCCAAGAGGGGCCCAGAAGGGCTCCAAGACGGCCCCAAGAGCGTCCCATGAGCCCCCCCCAATGGAGGTTGTTGGGTCCCCGCCCTTTTGATCAGCGGCCTCCAAAACCCAATGTTGCCCCATGAAGGCCAGAAAAGGACCCCAAGGCGTCTCCAAGAGAGCCCCAAGAGGTCGCCCGACAGGCCCCCAAAAGCGCCCCGCGAGGGCCGCAGAAGGCACAACGAATTGCCCCAAGAGGGTCCCACAGGGACCCCAAGAGGCCTCCGAGAGGCCCCCAGGGCGCAAGACCCGGCAAGGTTTCCTCCAGCCGCCACCGTCGATCGTCGGGCGTCGGTCGTCGGTCTTCGGCCGTCGTTCGTCCGTCATAGGTCATCGGCCGTCGTTCGTCGTCGGTCGTCGTCGGCGTCGTTGTCGTTGTCGTCGTCGTCGCAGCCGCTGCCGCCGCCGCCGCCGTCGTCGTCGTCGTACGCGTGGTCGTGGTCGTCGTAGTCGCGGTCGTCGTAGTTGTTCTCCTTCTTTCCCCCCCTCTTCTTCTTCCGGCGCCTCCTCCTCCTCCTCCTCCTCCTCCTCCCTCGTCCTCTTCTCATTCTCCTCCTGCCTACCTCCTCCCTCTCCTCCTCTGTTTCGTTCTCCTCGTTTTCCCTTCTCCTACAGGTAACGCCACCCCTTTCTGCTCCACTGCATGCTGCTACGCTTCCCTGACCAAGGGAACTCGCCTAGTGGTTGTCGCTGGATGGGCTGGTGGGGGCACGCGAATCGTCAAGACCTCGCGCTGTGATTTGGCTGCCCGTGGCCTGTCGTGGCTCCTCTCTTGGAGCCTCTCATGCAGCTCGTGGGGCCTCGTGGGTCGTCGGTCGTCTTGGAAGCCCCTTTGGCCTTCCTGGGAGCCCTGTGGACCCGTCTTGGCCCGTCTGAGCTGCCTCCTGCCACCCTCTAGACGCCTCCTCGGCGCAAATTTAAACCCTGAAGCCAGATTCCGGGTACAGATTCCGGGCCCAACGGGGAGCGCTGCTGCTTGGAGCCGCTTGCAGCATTTGCTGTTGCTTGATAGCGTCTGCGGCTAACTGCTTGGTGTTGCTTGCTGCTGCGCACGACTGGTTGCTACGGTTCGCCGCTCTGTGCTGGTGTCTGCTGCCGCTTGGGCCTTTCGTCGCGCCTTCTTTTTCTCGGCGAGCGACCGCAACAAAACGCAAATTCGAAATTTGAACTCAAATCGCAGATTCGTCGGGCATACTTACAGAGCTGGGCGAGTCAGGTCAAGGCAATTCCTGAACCGTCACGCTTGCAAGCTCAGGTAAACCAGGTCCACCGACTGAAAAAAACAATTGGACCTTGCAAACAACGAGGCTGGTGGTCTCGAGCTGGAAGCAAGGATCTATTCTAAAAAGATAACATGACATTGGAAAATCCTCGAAGGCACGGGTCCATGACGGACTTAGGGAATCGGGCCCTCTGAGGTGGTATTCGATGCCATGTCGTGCGGAACCGTTTGCAGTTGCTCGCACACCCAGAAGAGGAGGGTGTAAAATGTGGATGGGCGATGGATCAGAGGAAACTGCCAAAGAACCATGGACAATAACACGTGACAACTACACAACAGTAGACTGAGGATGTTGGGCTGGTGCCCGATCCGTGTTGAGCTGCGGCGCCGCGCAACGCCCAAGCAAGATACGACTGCCCACCGAACGCGTTCGCAGTTTCTGCCAGAAGCGCTCTGGCTGCCCAGGCCCAGCTAACAGTGCACTGCGGTGCACACAGTCAGACAGGGCACGGCGCCAAAGTACCGAGCCTTGCGAAGAAAGCTGAACTGATCTGAACCGCCCGTGTCCGCAGAATGGCTGCGCTGCGAGACACCAGCCTTCGCTGTCTTCGGCCCCCTCATCCACGCTCTCAGCGCATGGACACCGTCTTTCTCCGCCGCCGTGCCGCGAAGCACGAAGTGGAGTGTCCTCAGGTCCCTTGTAGTCCAGTGTGCTGAATAATGTGAATGCTTTATTAAAACGCCAAGCCCTGGATTCCCAGACAACCTGGGCGCTCTCGGTGCTCCTCGGGCTCCACGCCCAAAGCTGAAACCCGCTGATAAGCATTCTGGTTTTGAAGGTTTTCGGCCCAGAGGGGGGAAACCGAACTGGCCCAAAGAGGCCTCTTATCCGCCCAAGTCCCGAAACCAACATTTAACGCAACACTGCCCGTTCAACGGCATAGCGAAGAGATTTAGACGGCAGAGGGCACTCGCACGTGATTGAACAGCCGTGCACAGACGTCCCGAAACGATGGTGTGACTCGTGGCCTAGCTCGGGCCAGAGCGCAGCCAGAAACGTAGAAGGTCAAACCACTACGACAAACACCATTCGTGACAGGCGACATGGTGTTCGAGGGGGGTGAGGAGGAAGAGGAGGGCCCCCCTCCTTCCCTGGAGGCCGAACTCAAGAGAATGTCCAGATTTGACGAACAAAAACGCACATAAACACCTACGGTGACAACAACTCCTCCTACAATCTCGAGCTGCTCTTCAGGCCGTTCTTGGGCTAGTCGGCGCCCTGCCTCCGTGCGCTCCTCGGCTGCCCCGCGGCCTTCCCGGTGCCCCCCTTTATCCCCGTGCAACGTCGGCGGAGCCTGCCGTAATGCACTGCACGTGCGGATAGGTCGGGAATGACCTCCTCCACGCGGATTTTGGATTTTTTTTATTCGGCAAGGCTACCTCAAAGGTGTCTCAAGACCGCTGTGAATTATCAACGATACTCTCAAATCGGCCCCTCAGGGGGGCGAAATGGAGCAGCAAATTTGCGTGACTCTAAAAAGTTTTAGAGTCACGCAAAATTCTTGCAACGCACAACCTTCCAACGCGGATTTTGGAAGAAGAAATCCGCCGACCCTGTCGGCGTGTGCGAGGGGCTTCTCCGTTCGAGTTCTCGTCTCCGTCGTCTCCTCGTCGTTTCCGTCGTCGTCGCAGTCGTCTCCTCGCCGTATCCGTCGTCCCCCGTCCCTTTCCCTGGGCCCTCCTCAAGCGTGCCATCCAAAGCGAAATTGTACAACGCCGTATTGGAGTAGAAGGGAAGCCCCTTCCCTTTGATCCCTTCCCAGCGGGGGGGGGGTCCCCACCCAGATTCGTCTTCCCCCCGGCGGCCCCGACATATCGAACAGCTCCAAAAAGAACCCTGAATGCCGAAGATGGCTCCAATATTGCTCACAAAAGCCCAGTGTCGCTCAAAGATCGGCCCAACACGGCCAAGATGGCCCCAAGACGATCCAAGAAGCCTTCTAGACGTCCCTGGAGCTCTCCAAGAACACCCCTACCAAGGCTCCAAGAGGCTCCTCCCCTCCTCCTCCTCTCCCTCCTCCTCCTCCTCCTCATCATCATCATCTGTCCCACTCCTCTTCCTCCTCCTGCTCCTTCTACTACTCCTCATCCTCCGCCTTCCTCTACTCCTCTCCCTCCTCCTCTTTATCCTTATTCTCCTTTTCCTCTTCATTTGTTCCGCACTCCTCTTCTTTCTGATTATCCTCTTCCTCCTCCTCCTGGCCTCCCTCTTCTTCTTATTATTCCTCGTCCTTCTCTTCATCCTCATTCTTTTCTTCCTCCTCCTCCCCCTCTTCCACTTTTTCCCTCCTCTTTCTCCTCCTCCTGCCCCTCCTCCTCTTCCGTCTCCTCTTCATCCTCATCCCTCTCCCAGCCAGGATAAGCCGCAGCGAAAGGAGACGACAGAGGAGAAGGAGACAAACGCATGGACCATGGATGGGTGCCTGCTCCACGTTCCTCTCCGCCTGCCCCTCCTTCTCTCCGTTCTCCTCCTCGTCCTCATCCCTCCCTCCCTCCCTCCTCCTCCTCCTCCTCCTCCTCCTCCTCCTCCTCCTCCTCCTCCTCCTCCTCCTCCTCCGTTCTCCTCCTCATCCTCATCCCTCCCTCCCTCCTCCCGCCCGCCAAGAGCACGAAGGGAAGGAAACGCAGAGGAGCCGGAAAGTGAGTCGCAGCTCCCAGGACGCGAGCCCAACAAGGGGGCAGAACAGGAGGCAGAGCGGAGCGCCTCCTCCTCCTCCTCCTCCTCCTGCTCCCCCCCTCCCTGCTCCCCCTTCCTCCGATCCTCTGCCTCCTTCTCCTCCCCCTCCTCCTCCTCCCTCCTCCTCCTCCCTCATCCACCTCCTGCACCCCTTCCTCCTCCTCCTGCCACTCCTCCTCCTCCTCTCCCTGCCCCCCCCCACCTCCCTTTCATCTTCGTCGTCAGGGTCGGCGGCACCGGCCGTAAGGCCTTCGCAATAGAAAATAATCAAACAATATTCAAACATAGCTAAACATAGTCCAAGAATCGTCCGCAGATTTTTTAATATTCTGAGATATTCCACCTGTAGAAGGACACGCCCGACTTATTCGAAAGAGTGGCCCGTCGCAGGAGTGACCTTTTGGTGTTGGCCCCAAGAGGGTCGCGTAATTTTGTGTTTAGTATTGGGCTCGACCTCGCGTCAGCGTTGGGTTGCGCTCGCATCTGAGCGTGCCAAAATTGGGCTCCGCCCCTCCCTCTCGCAATCGACCGCAACGCATGAGCGGCGCATCCTACAGCGCGCGTCGGCTTCCCTCGGGGAGGGCCGGTTGACCGGGCGGTGCGCTTCCGCCCCAGGACCAGTCCCGAATCCCAGCCCAGATCCCAAATCGTTCCGTTGAGTATCTTTGAATATGTTTGAATGTTTTGGAGTCTGTTTCCGAACCCATGGCGCAATTCTTCACTATGGAGAAAACTAGCCAGGCAGATTCAAGGATCTGGGCCAAGGGGCCGGCTTTGGCCATGACGCGGGACCTGGTCAGAAATCATCGCCTCGCGGCCTCGCAATGTCTTCGAGGTGCCGTTCGCGGAGGTCGAGCCGAGTTCGCGGAGTTCGGGGTTGCCGCTGGTGCGGAGGATCTCTCGAGGCGCGTGCCGCCGATCGTCGATGCGTCGCGGCAGTGGCGCCCCGAAGCTGCGCACCAGGGGTGACTCTAATCAGTCTGGGGTCGCTCCTGCGTGGACTCGACGTGAGGCCTCTCTGACACGCTGGAGGCTCTGACGACCCGCTGCGGGAAGCGTGGGCCGACGCTGGACGAGTCCGCGGGCGCACCTCCACAAACAGGCCTCTCCTCTTGAAGCCCCGCGCCAGCAGGCCGGCAGGCCAGCAGCTGCCCAGGAGTGTCGTCACCGGGGCCCAGGAGGCCCCCGAGAGACCCCTCAGAGGCCCCAAAGAGGCTCCCAGGAAGCCTCCAGGATGCCCCCAAAGACCCCCAAAATGGCATCCTCCTCCTCCTCGTCCTACTTCTCCCTCCTCCCAAACGGATTTCGGAATGGCTGGGGGAACTTGAACAGATAGTCCGGTAGTTTGGCTGGGCGGCGGTGGTTCGCCGCAGTCGGCTTAGATAACATCCACTCCTGAAGCCAGCCGTTCGCCAAAGACCTCCACCCCTTGTCGTCTCGGAAGTAGCTGACACCAAAGACAGATGAGGGCGAGGCACGGGGAAAAACAACCGCCCCTCGCGCCTCTTTGACGAAAGTGCTGCCATGTCCGGGGCAAAGAGGCAGGGGTTGGTGGCCAACCGCCACGATTCCCTGCCGAAGCCGAGTGCAAAATGCATTGACGATCAGGGTGCTCATGCACAGCCGAGACGACAATGCGCTGGACAGAAGCTGGCGACGGGAGCGCGCAAGCTGGCGAAGAGCTGATAGGATCGGCGCTGGACCCCCCCCCCTGGCGCGGGAGAACTCGCGTGCCGCTCCACCTCCGGCCCGCCGCGCCGGGCGACATCCCGCAGCGGCTGGCAACGCCCACGTGCCAGCAATATCACGAGGAGGAGCAGGAGGCGCAGGTGGTGGAGGGAGGCTGGAAGATGGCGTCGCGCCAATCTGGAGGAAGAAAACAGGGCATCTACATAAACTTTCAGAGCTCCGCGCGGATCTCTCGCATCTGCGCTGAAGCTCCCTCCATGGCGCGCGGGGCGGGGGGGTCCGCAAGTTCACGCTTGTTCGGGGGCGCACAAGCTGTGCTGCCCTGCTCTTCTTCGGCTCGCCTGACTTGCGCTGCCCTGCTCTTCTTCGGCTCGCTGCCTCGCCGTGGCCTGGGGGGCGCGTGCGCGGGCAGTCCCTGCCGGGGCGCGCTTCTGGCCGGCCCCGCGCCAGCGACCCCCCAAGGTGTCCCGGCGGCAAGGCCGCCGCCTCGGATGCTCAGCCGTGAGGCGCGCTTCCAGAGGCCGCGGGGTCGGCACGGGGCATGTGAGCCGCCCCAGACCGATCGTCGTCGTCGTCGTCGTCGTCGTCGTCGTCGTCGTCGTCGTCGTCCTCGTCGTCGTCGTCCTCGTCGACGTCGTCGTCGTCGACGGTGTGCCAGCCGATCCAAGCCCGACCTGCCCCACTACTGGCCCCGCCCGCTCGAGGTGCAACGACTGGAAGGCACTGGCTAGGGGGGGGAACATCCGCCTGGAATCGGCGATGCACCACTGATAGATCGGCGATAGGCCCACCCTAGCACTTAGCGGGCAGGTGTCCCCGACGGCGGTAAAGTTTCTTTTATGCCGTTCTTCGCTCGCTGAAGCACATCCGCACGGTGCTAGGCTGGGGGTCCATGCGTACCCCCTGGGCCTATCCCCCCCCCCCACCCCTGTCGTTGCCCCCGCCCTCCGCCCTCCCTCCCTGCGGACGCCCGGACTGGCTGCGGAGTACAATGCCCGACGACAGACGCTGTCCAACACCGGCAGCGGCGGCCGCTGTTGGGCAGGCGGCCTCCTGTCTCAAATGGGCAACGCCCGCGGCCACACCGACAGCGAGCCCTGCTAGAAGTGAGCATGACATGTTGCCGGTCTTTGTGCCCGTTCTCTCCGCATCCATTGAATGGGGCCCTGGGACACACAAATAAATACACACAAATAAAAGGATTCCCAATGTTTTCTCAGATTTTCTGGGTTTTTGTCTCCCCCCCCACTTCCCATAGTTTCCCATATCTTCTGGGGAGTCGACGATTAATTGTGTCTGTGTGTTTTTTCCCCTCCTGAATGTTGCCGGCCTTTGTGCCCGCTCTCTCCGCATCCATCTCGATCGCTCCGATGCTCAGCTCGGGGGCGACGGCGGAGGCAAATAGCCCAGGCGAGAGCAGGACATGCATCCAGGGGCACCGATGGTCTAGGCATTCGGCGAGGATCCTGGGCGAATACGTGTAATGCCCGCCCCTGGGCCACTCGCCCTTACCGTCACTCCAGACCAGCAGCGCGGCGCGGGGGATCGACATGGATCCGACCGGCGGACATCGGAAACCAAGTCGGGAGAAGTCGCATCGGCGGAAATCGGCAACCTAGCACGGCCTCCATCGAAGAAGCGGAGCCCAGATCGGAATCCGAGGTCGAATCGAATGAAGAATCGGAATCAGAACCGATCGCGAACTCGGAATCGATCGAACTCGAACCGAATCGAGTCGCAGGAGTCACAGCGAGCCCTGCCTGGGTCGAGAATCGTGCCCGCCTTGCTGAGGAGCCAGCGGCCGGGGCTGGCCGGTGGGGGGGGGGTCTGGCAGATCTGGGGCGAGCCCAAGCGGTCAAAAGAAACCGACGCTGGGAAGCTGCGCCACAGGAGCCGCCAACGCGGCCGTGCGGTCTCTGCTGGACAGGAGCGCTCGCGCGCCATGCTTCTTTGTCAGGGAGGAGGAGGAAGGAGGAGGAGGAGGAGGAGGAGGCGGAGGAGGAGGAGGAGGAGGAGGAGGAGGCGGAGAGGGAGGAGAAATGGAAGGAGTGGGCCGCTCCCCAAACACTTCCAACGGCCAGCTGCATGCCTTTGAACGCTGCCCCGTGTCACCAACTGTGCAAGAGGGAGCGGCTGTCTGCGCGGTGGCCGTCGCACAGCAGCGAAGGCCAGGAAGGCCGTACAAACAACTAGATGTGAATTGAGGGCTCCCCCAACAGGTCAAACGGCCAACACGATGCCGATGCCGTTGAATGCTGCCAGGTGTCTCCAACCGATGCCTTTGTATGCAGTGCTCGTGGCGCAGCAGTGAAGACCAAGAAAGCCAGGACAAAAACCAAAAAAACTATGTATGATTAATAAGTGTGCCCGGCAGTCGCACCGCGAGCACCCACCACACACGCCGGCAGCTACACACGAGCAGACAGCCAGGCAGCAGTGGAGCACCGAGGCCTACGCCTCTGCATGCCCCCCCCGCTGCCGAGCGAGTCCTAGCGTCGAGCCAGTATGTGCGCCGGGGAGATCAAATATAACCCTGGGGCCGACGCTGTGCCACGCTCCCAGGAGGCCTCTCCGTGGCCCTCTTCCTCCGCCTGTGGTGGCGCGCTCGACTTCGGCCACACGCGCTCGCTTCCACGGACGACTCGAGAGATTCGACAGTGGGTTCGCGGCAACGCGCTCGCCTGCAGCAAGCTCAGGGTGAAAGCTTTGCTCGCCAGCACCAGGGCTAACAACCCCTCGTATCCGATAGCACCGTGGAGGGAGCCACGGCGCAGACACGAGGTGAGGACGAGTGAATTAGCGGAGCAGTCGGGGAAGACAAAACACACAGACACAAGTAATCGTCGATCCCCAGGAAAGTATGGGAAGATATGGGAAGTGGGGGTGGAGACGCAAACCAATAACATATGCGAACATATAAAGAATCCTGGGCTTTGTGCGTATGTGTGTGTGTGTGTGTGTCCCTGGGCCCCTTTATATTAGCTATGGGCCGAACCCGAATCATCCTGCCTCCATCCATCTTGTCCGTGCGCGCGAAGTGGAGGTGAATCACCTCAACACTCGGACAGGCGGAGAAAGAACCTCGGCCCAAAGCAGCCTGCCTGCGTCGGTCCGTCGATCGTTTCGTCGATCGATGTGGCTACAAAAAAAGCGGGGGGGCATTCTCAACTGTTGTCGAGTCGGTGCTTCCCGTATTCAATGTTTCTTCACCGCAGAGCGAGATCTTTGAATCTGCACGCCTCACTCGGAGTCGGTGTCCCCCAGCTCGCTGGAAGCATCCAAGACGTCGCTTGCGACGGCCTCAATCCTGTTCACCCAGCTTGCATGGACGCCGAGGAGCTCGGCTGCGGTCTCCATCCACCCCTGCTCTTGGGCCGCACTGCTCAGGCGCTGGAATGTCTTGGCGCAAGGGGGCATGTCCGATTCGGCCATCTCCTTGTATTGGGTCGGGCATGTCCCCCTTCAGGCTGATTTTGGACGAAACATGAAACATAGTCAAAACATAGTTCAAAAATGCACAGAAATTGTCAAAACATCGTCCCCATAACTATTTGTTGATTATTTCTGAATATTCCCCCCGTAGAGGGACACGCCCGACTTGATCCTTGTACAGCGTGACGGCCTTCCCGAGCCGCTCCGCCTCGATGTAGCAGCGGATCGGGTCGCGGCAGGCGCAAGGACTGGGCTGGGCGCACTCCTCGAAGATGTCCAGCGCCTCCCCTACCCTGCCGGCGGCGGTGCAGGCCCTGATCATCGCAGCGTTGGCCCTGCGGTCGGGGACGCACCCGAAGAGGGGCATCTGCCCGCGCACCTGCAGGGCCCGGTCGACCTGGCCGAGGCGGGCGCAAGCACGAAGGGCCCTGTTGAAGGCCGCGTCGTCGGGCGCCTGGCCCTGCTCCACCATCTCCTCGAAGGCGCGGAGCGCGGACTCAGGCGTGCTGCCCTCGCGCACCTCGCTGGCGAACCTCAGCCTGGCGCCAGCTCGATGCTTCCGCGCGTTGGCGCACCCGATGGCGTAGGTCAGCATGGGCATCAGGACGATCCAGAGCTCGACCGTCCCCTCGTCCTGGGTGACCTTGCTCAGGGCATATACCGCGACTAGCAGCGACATCAGCACGCCAATCTGCACGTCAGGGTCCCTGGCGAACGGCATCGAATTCGCCGCACGGCAAGATTCCTGCTGCATCCTGTTGCGACTGGTCTGTGCGCAGGCGCCCAGACGTTAGATCGAATATACGAGAGTGCCTGAGCCCAGAAGGATTGAGTATGAATGGGTACGGTCCTTCGTGCCTCTTGGGGCCTCTCTTGGGGCCCAGCTTGCGTTTCTACCAGCCTCGTGGGTCCATTGTGTGACCCTCCAAGTCCACCTAGGGCCTCCTTTGGAGTCCTCTTGGAAAGTCTTGCGGGCCTCTTGAATGCCATTAGGGTGCCTCTTGGGCTCGCTTGAGCCGTCCTGGTTTGGCTTCTGGACGTTTGCCAACGCACGCCGATGATGTTATATACTACCTGCCTGACGCACCGTATTCAGACCTGCGAAGATCAGATGACTCTTGGGCGTGTGAATTGAAACGGATGTGGTTCTAATCATGCCATATGCCTGTGCACCGATGCGCGATCAATGGAGCATTCGACCGCCGTTGCACCGCAGACGTGCATCTTGCCGCTGGGACCCTGGCCTACACTCAGCCATAGACCACACGACTCTAATCACTGATGGTCCGTACTATTCACGGTGCCGCCACACGTGCCGTGCCTTGTGGGAACGACACACAAAGGCCCCCCCATACTCGGGCTGTGCTGGACCACCGTGTGCAGCATCACCGCATAACAACGAGATAGCTAACTCCGCCGACTCTGTCGGCGCGTGTGAGGGGCTTCTCCATTCGAATCGCTTCACGACGGCCCAAGAGGCCTCAGATGATACAACTCGGTCGAAGAGGCCTCCAGGAGAGACCCCACCCAGCCCAAGAAAGCCCCAAGACAGCCCAAGACGCCCCCAAGACGGCCCCAAGACGGGCCCAAGAAGCTCTCCGGATGCCCCCAAAGGGTCCTTCTGCTCTTCCTCCTCCTCCTCCTCCTTCTCCTTCTCGTCCTCGTCGTCTTCAGGGTCGGCGGCACCAGCCGCAAGGCCTTCTCAATACATCTATCTCTGGGTCTGTGCTGTCTTTGATACCCTGTAAGCCGACACGCAGGAAGATCCGCGGGCCCCCGGGGGGGCCAACAAGCTGCGATGCGGGTGTCTTCCGAGTCCCTGCGCCGTTTCCAATTTCCTCGTCCTAGTTGTGGATGTTATATAATTACAGGCGGGGCGTTGACCTAAGGAACCCAAAATAAGGAACGAGGCCCCTTTTTTCCATAAATTCAACCTCGATTTCCCATCGAAAACCAAAGGAAAACCCGAAGCAAACTTTGAAGCAATCAAGGAACACGGAGCCCCTCCCCAACGAAAAGGGTTCCTTCTTCAGGGCCCCGACTGTAGTTCCACGGCTGCAATGACCGAAGTCCGCGCGAGGAGCCCGAAAACCGCCCCGTTCCTCTCCCCGCTGGGGGCTCTCAGGATTCCTGGGGGTACCTTGGGACACACAATATACTATAAACTCGCGCTCCCGAGGCCAGCAGCTTCGCGCTCCCCAACCCATGACCCCCTTCAAAAGGTCTGCAACTAGCGCGCTCCGGAAGCCTTCAACATGAATTGCACCAAGCTCACGCTCCTCAAGCCACAACGCATAGCACATTGCAACCGACTCGTGCCCCAGAGGCCACAACCTTCAGGACCTGACATCACGCTTACGCCCCCGAAGCCAGAAGCCTCCGCACAGTACGGCAAGTTCGGCGCTCCCGACGCCACGGCCCATGATGAATTGAACCGGGCTCGCGCCGCCCAAGGCCACAACCCGCGGCACCTTGCGCAAGACTCGCGCCCACAGGGCCACAACCTTTAGGACCTTGCGGCAAGCTTGCGCCCCCGAAGCCACACACCTTCGCACGTTACGACACCTTTGGCACCCCCGATGCCACGGCCCATGTTGAGCTGCACCAGGTTCGCGCCTCCCCAAGCCACCTAGGGCTCCCAACTTCGCGCTTCGCGCTCCGCGAAGCGCGAAGCGCGAATAACTTCGCGCCCTCGCGCCGCCCCCCCAAAGGGAGAAAAGGAGGACGAGGAGGAGGGGGGAGAAGGAACGAGGACCGCGAAGCGCGAAGCGCGAATAACTTCGCGCCCTCGTGGGAGCCCTTGTTGCAAAAGGTCCGCGCCCCAGGACCTTGCAACGAGCTCGCGCCCCCGAACCAACAGGCCTTCGCACATGGCGGGCACCTCTGGCGTCCCCGATGCCCATGACGCACCGCACCAGGCTCGCGCTCCACAGGCCACACAACCCACCACATTGCATCAGGCTCGCGCCCCCGAAGCCGCAGCCGTCAGGACCTTACCACAAGCCTGCGCCCCGAAACCACAAGTGAGCATGGAATGCCCCGCTTTTCACAACAGCAGAAAGAGCACGGACGGCTGCGGAGGCAAACGTGCTTGCTAAGACCTTCAGGGCTCCAGAGTTCTAAAGTCTAGACGCTTCGCGTAACCCACCAACCCATCCAGACACGATGCCCAAAGGATTTGCCTCGATCAGGAAAGTGGGCCGCACGAAGATGAAAAAAGGGTCCCTCTTGGAGCGCTCTTGGGACACTCTTAGGCGCTCTTGAGGCCATCTTGGGGCTCTCTTGCGTCTTGAGGGCCTCTTGGCGGTCCTGGGGGACTCTTGGACCGTATTGGAGAGCCTCTTGGGGCCTCGTGCGGGTCTCTCGGGAGCCTCTTGGAGGCATGTTGGGCACCTCTTTGGGCCTCCTGGGCGCCTCTTGGGGTCCTCTTGAAGCGCTCAAGGGGGCCTTGGGAGCGCTCTTGGGGCCAACTAGGAGCACATCGACCACACCAAAAGGGGCCATTACTTAGCGTTGCCCCTCGGGAACCCCCAACGTCGCCTCTTGTGGCGCTCTTGGGGAGCAATTGGGCGCTCTCGGGGGCCGTCGTGGGGCTCTCTTGAGCCTCTCTTGAATCCTCTTGGCCCATCTTGGAGCCATCAAGAGGCATCGGATGGCCATCGGAAGCGCAACGGCGAGAAAGCAACACACATTGATTTGCCAAAGGTTTTGCAGCGATGTTGCCCTCTTCGGGGCCTCCTGGGGAGCTCTTTGGCCACTTGGAGCCGTCTGCCTCTTGAAGCATCTTGGGAGCCACCTGGGGGCATCTTGGGGTATCGTGGAGGTCATCTTGGGCTCTCTCAGGCGCTCTTGGGATCAACTTAATCAGTCCCCCCCCCCCCAGGGCGCCAACATGTGGCCAACGCCCGATTGAAATCAATGATTTGGGCATTCTCGCCGAGGCCTCTTGGGGCGTCTTGGGAGCCTATGGGGGGCCTCTTGGGGGTCTTCGGGGGGCCTCTTGGGGGCATCCTGGGGGCCTCTTGGGGGCCTTTCGGGCCTCCTGGGCACCCCTTGGGGCTCTCTTGGACCGCCCTTGGGAGCCTTGGAAACATCTTTGGACCATTTAGGAGGGTATCGATCAAACAAGAGGGAAGCTTTACTTAGTGGTGACCCCCAAGAAGCCAAAGTGGAGCCAAAACCTTACCAAACAAATAAAACGTTGGCTTCCTCACCGAGGCCGCCCTGGACGCTCTGACACGTCGCGACCGGCCCCGCCCAGGTCCAGGGAAGGGGGCGGGGGCAGGGGCAAGCCCCTCTCCTAAGGGGAAGAGGGGCAGATGGAAGAAAAAACACCTTAGACCACCCACGGTTTAAAGGGCTGTTGGGATAAGCGTCAAGGGGGGCCCGAAATGCGCCGGCCCCCTCGGGCCAGGGCGCGTCTCTGACCCGCGCGCCAGTCCATCGCAAAACAACTCGCGGCCAACCGACGCGGGCTAGCCATCGCTTCCACCGTCTAGCTCGGGTATCGAGGTAGCGGAGCGCGGCGATGCACTCAGTCGAACGCCACGCGGCACTGGCGCAAACCTCAACGAATGACATCGACGTCTCCAGCGCACGCGGTGGTCGCGATCTGGAGGGCGGGGCCGTGGCTTGAGCTGGGCCCCCCGCGCGGTCGCCACCGTCGCGCAACTCTGGGCCGCCGCGTCATTGGACCCGCCTCCTCTCCTCTGGAACGGCGGCGGGAATCTCGCGCGCCCTCGTCCGTCGCGCCCCCGGGGGCATGGCCTTCAGGTGTCGCTCGAGGGTTGCTCTGTCGATGGCTTCGGTCAGCGCCGCTGGCGGGTCCTGTTTGCCTGGAAGGAGGAGGAGGAGGAGGAGGAGGAGGAGGAGGAGGAGGAGAAGGGAGGAGGAGGAGGGAGGAGGAGGAGGAGGAGGAGAGGGGAGGATGGAGGAGGAGGAGGAGAGGAGGAGGAGGAGGATGAGGAGGCGGAGGATGATGATGAGATGAGGAGGAGGAGGAGGAGGAGGGAGGAGGAGGAGGAGGGAGGAGGAGGAGGAGGAGGAGGAGGAGAGGAGGAGGAGGAGGAGGAGGAGGAGATGGAGGAGGAGGAGGGAGGAGGAGGAGGAGGAGGAGGAGGCTCTCGTTGGCGCTGGCCGATTGGATCCACGAGCGCCCCGCATACGAGCGCCTGATCTTCCCACTCCCATCGGCGTTGGCAGATCCCTACGGCAGCACTGGAATCGGCCCCGGCCTCTAGCCTCAACGAATGCTTCGCGGACGGTTCTCTTGGCGGAACATTGTATAAACCAAACAAAAATGTGAGAAATGGACGTCGGTTTTTCTAAGGTCGTGATCGATTCGACTATAAATTTTGTTTGCGTGTGGATTTCCTAGGTGCGTAGTTGCAGTATTATTATGATTGTTGTGTCGAGCAGCTTTTTAGCTTATCTGCAGTCCCCGTGCAGCCCGAGCCCCAGGTCGCGAGCATGGAACTTGATGCCTAGTGCCCGACTGCGCGCCTTCGTCACTCCGCAGATGTCTGGCCCGCCGCTGCCCGGGCCGATAGGGGACCTGCGCGCTCGAACTGGTGCGCCACAGGTGCTGCCCGAACGTCGCGATGGTCCCTGAAGTCGACCTCCAAATCAATGGGTACTCCAGATTTCGTAATAAAGGGAGGGGGGTCTCATTTCGGGGGGGGTCTCTTCCAGGCTATCTTGGAGGGCCTGGGGGGTCTGGGGACGATGTTTTAGAGGGTTCTCCCACGGGGGAAGTCTGAAATGGCTTGTCTTGGAGGGTCCAGACCCCCTCCCTTTTATTACGAAATCTGGAGTGAACAGTCCTGTCCGCGTCGCTCAGAGCCACGGTGGCCCTCGGAAGCTTCTGGCGCCGCCTGGCCCACGTCGGCGTCGGAGCGTGGATCAGGCACCGAACGCGCCGCTTCAGCATGCGTTGGTGTCGGACGGTAGGGTGGGCCATTCCTCGGGCCGCCCTCTTCGCAACAGACTCCAAGTCGGGGCGGTCCTGGGCCGGGGGGCCCAGTCGTGTGACCGCGCTCCTGCAGATGCCCGATTCCGGCACGACTGGCGCCAGCGCGGTATCAGGGTCGACAAGTATCTTCTCGCGTGGCCGCGCCCATCGTCTGCTGGCTGAAACCGGGCTGCAGCGTCAGCACCTCTCAGTGGCGCGGGCAAGCTACTCTATTCGCCCCTGGCCACCAACTCCTGCAGGAGCCCACCGCGTCGCCCAATTGTGGGTCGCCATGGACTTCCGATCCCAAGGTCGCGGGCCCATCATCCCGCGATCTCTGACGATGAACGCGATGCCCATATGCCACTTCATTCGCCTGCGCTGGCGCCTCGGGCCCATAAAACTAAGGAGGTCGACGGGATGCAGGAAGCGCAGGCGCCGTGCCAGCAGCGAGAAGATACAGTGATGATGGGCTCCTCGCGTAGCTCATGCCTCCTCGTTGACCGACTGGACCTCGAACTCGCGACTCTGGCTCACCGACTTGGCCTCGAAAGCAATAACCGTGCAAGCGTCGCTTCAACCGTAAAGCCTTGTCCGCCGCATGATCAGAGTGTCCTGCTGGAATCTCTGCATGCAACTCCTCTTCGCGTCAATGCGCTGGCGCGTGCGGCTGATTTCCCAGAACGCGAGCGCGATGTCCTCCTCTGGTTCCTGCTGCGTCGCCATGGCCCCCGTCGTCGCAGCCGCGGGCGCCAGCATATGCAGCGTGCGAGTGGCATCCAGAGGTGGTGACGCGCTGAAGACCGCTCCGCTGCCCTGGGCGTCCAAGGCGCTGCGCGCTTCGTCTACATCGCGACCGGCCGGGATCGGCATCTCCTGGACTCGCCTGACCCCTTGTTCGCGTCGGCCCGGCGAACCACTTCCGAGTCAGCGCCCGCCTGCGCGTCGATTCCGCGGCGCGCTCTTTGCCCCTCGCAGGAGGTCTCGATCGGCGCGATTCCCTTCAGGCAGGGGTCGGGGGGTTCGCGCCCGCATGCCCCCGATGGGCGCGCCCATGGCCCCCTCGGCAATCCGCGAGAAGACGCCGGGCCCGAGCCGCGCGCCCCGCCCGCGCACCCGCTCGCCGACCGGCAAGATCAGCGCCTACTCACCGAACTCAGCCGCAGCCCGTCAGCAGGGCACCTCATGTCGTCTCTCCCGCGGCGTCTTGCCGCCCGCGCCGCGGCGGCCTGCGTCGGCGGTGGTCGCCCGCCCGCTGTGCGAGCCGCGCCGCCGGCGTCGAGTCCATCGAGAGGTCCTCGCTAGTCAGCTCCTCCACTCCCTGCGCCAGAGGCCTCGGCTTTGCCTTTTTTTTGAGGGAGAAGATGGGAGCAGACACCGACACTGTACACCACGCGGCTGGGGCGGACAAATCCTGCCCCCCAAGACAGGCAGCGGCCAAGATGCGGTGTACTTTAGCCCCCGGCGGCGCAGTGGTCTTGCAATGGCGAAGCCATGCATTAGTATAGTCGTACACCACATCGAGACCTCGGCTTTGCCTCGATCTCTCGAGTGGCGTGCCCCGCCAGACCATCCAGCAGCGCGCCGCCCGCGCTCGAGCTATCAGGGGCGAGCTCGGCCCCGCGCCTGCCCGTCAGCTTGCGCCCGACGTGGCCCGTCGGCGCCGCGATCGCGCCCTCGCCGCCGCTCCACGAGCGCGACCCGATCGCAGCCTGCCCGCTATATTTAAAGGGGCCCTGGGACACACAAATAAATACCTACTCCCCACATTTTCCCATATGTGCTGGGTTTGTGTCTTCCCCCCCACTTCCCATATTTTCCCATATTTTCTTGGAATCGCCGATGAATTGTGTCCGTGTGTTTTTTCCCCTCCTGAATATTGTCATGCTCGTCGCAGCTGCGTTGCAGGCGCCCTCGGCCCCCCTCGACGTCAACGCCGGGCAGTGGCGCCACTTGCGCCTGGCGTCGCTGCCGCGCAGCAGCGGAATGGCCTGGGCGGGCCTCTGATTTTCCGCGCCCGCGAGGTTGCCGCCGTCGATGCCGACCGCGGCCGCGGCCCGCCCCCTCGGGCGGCGCAGCCCAGACGCGCTTGTCCGAGACCCCTCGCCCCGCGACGCGCTGGGCACCGCGAGTGGCCTGGCTCGCGCGGCCGCTTCTCCTCCCCAGCCAGCACCCTCGGGACCCGCGTGCCCGGCGTCTTCGCCCGCGCGGCCGACGGGCGCCTCCTCGGCCTGCTGCTCCAACTCCTCCGCGATCGCCTCGCCGACTGCCGGCCCCGCTGCGTCGCCAGCTCCAGCCTCGCCCCCGGGCAACTCGACAGGGCAGAGGCTGCCGCGGCTTGGATTTACAGGCGGCCGCCCAGCCCGGGGCAGACCCGAGCCTGCTCCCTCCCGAAGATGCAGCGGCAGCACGCGCGCCTTCTACTTCCCGGCGACGGGGATCTCCTCCTCGGTTCCCTTCGCGACGGCCTTCCGGTGCCCGCGCCGCAGTTGCTATCGAACGCGATGCGCATCCCGTTGTCCGCTCGCGCATGATCGGCGCGCGGCGCACCTTCGTCGCTCGAGACCTGGCCGCGAGCAAGGGTCCACTGCCATGGGCCCTACCACACACGACCTTCTCGCCTGCGTCGCAGGTCCTCTCCTTCGTCGCCGCGCAGCGTGAACCGCCAGAACCATCCTTGTTCAGTGGCGCGTCGGGGGGCCGGCCCTCTGGCGGCACCGACGCCGCCGCGCGTGAGCACACCCCGATCTCGAGCGCCTGGTCCGACGTCTCGCGGTGCCCCGTGTGCCGCGACAGCGCGCAGGAGGAGGAGGGGGAGGAGGAGGAGGAGGAGGAGGAGGAGGAGGAGGAGGAGGAGGAGGAGGAGGCCCCCTGGCCCGCAGCCCCTTGAAGGAAAAGAGGGGGCCCCGAGGCCCGCAGGCCCCCGTGCGGGCTGCGGCGCGGGGAGGGGGGGGCAGCGGGCGGCGCGCCTGGACGGGCGCCGTCCTGCTCTGGGAGAGCCGGCGGCGGTGCCTCGGCGGCACACCGCTGTCGCCTGCCTCCGCCCCCCCGTCCTCCTCCGGGAGGAGGAGGAGGAGGAGGAGGAGGGGGAGGAGGAGGAGGGGGAGGAGGAGGGGGAGGAGGAGGGGGAGGAGGGGTCGCTGAGGGCGAGGAGGAGGGGGAGGAGGGCAGAAGGGAAGACCAGGAGGACCAGGAGGGAGGGACTCTCTCTCTCTCTCTCTTTTTCTATCTCTCTCTCTCTCTCTCTCTCTCCCCCTGGTCCTCCAAGCTTCTCCACTTCCCCGCCCGCGTCCCGTGCTCCCCCGCCCGCTGTTCCCCCCGCCCCCGCCCCGCATCTCGTGCCGCCCGCGACCCGTGCTCTTTCCCGTCCCTGCCCCCCCCTCCCTTCCCGCCTCAAGCCTACTGTTTTGAAGGGGCCCCAGGACATACAAATAAATTCACACAAATAAAACAATCCCCATATCTTCCCATACTTTCTGGGTTTCTGTCTTCCCCCCGACTTCCCATATTTTCCCATATTTTCGAGGGAATCGAGAATTAATTGTGTCTGTGTGTTTCTTTTCCTCCTGATGTTTGTCCGTCACGTCTCCTCCGCCCTCTCCCCCTTGTCTAAGCTCCCCCCCCTCTCCAGTCCGCAGCCCCCTCTCTCGGCGCAACTCGCTAGAACGAAGCATGCGCCAAAAAAAAACAGCGGGTGGTCGGCCCACAAGGTTTCAACCCGAGCGCGGCGGCAGACGCGCACGGGAATGCAAGGAGAGAACGGTCTGCGGAGGTCCCACACATGGCTCATTACGAACCGCTTCTACAGTCGGGGCGTTGACCTAAGGAACCCCAAATTAAGAACGATGCCCCTTTCTCCCTTAAGCTAAACTCCGATTTTCCGTGGAAAACCTCCGGAGGACCCAAGGAGCACTGTAAAGCAACTAAGGAACACGGAGCCCCTCCCCCACGAAAAGGGTTCCTTCTTCAGGGCCCCGACTGTAGTCTACATCGCAGAGCGTCATTCCTCTTTCCAGCCGCGCCCCGGGTGGGCTGGAAAGGGGCCTGCCCCTCCGCGCCACAGACCCTGCCCCGACTCGCGGCCGCCGCGATCGCCGCGGCGACCTCCACAATCGACGCAGAGGTTTGGTTCGGGATCGGATCTCGCGCATCTGGGGCGGCCAAGAGGGGGGCGTCCAAGCGGGGGGGGGGGCGCCCGAGTCATGACCGGCGGCACGTGCGCGGCCCAGGGGGAGGGCCACGAACGCAATGAAATGAACAGAGGCGATATGACACCTGAGGAAATATCATGGCCCCCGCCATGAGATCCCCCCCCCCCTGGTCATCACCCCCCTCTTTGCCGCCCCCGAACAACGACCCCTCTCCAGATACCGACTCCGCCGGAACGCCGTCTGCTGGGGCCGCGGCTGATCGCGGAGCACCTCGTACTCGCCGGTGCGGCCGCTCTCGTGGTCGCTGCGGCGCCGGTCGTCGCCGAGGCCCCATGCGGCCGGCTTGTAGTCCTGGGGCGGGCCACGCAGACTCCTCCTCCTCCCTCCTCTCCTCCTCCTCCTCCCCTCTCCTCCCTCCCTCCTCTCCCTCCTCTCCTCCACCCCCCCCCCCTCCTCCCCCCCCTCCCCCCCCCCCCTCCTCCCCCCCCCCTCCTCCCTCCTCCTCCTCCTCCTCCTCCTCCTCTTCCTCCTCCTCCTCCCTCCTCCTCCTCCCCCTCCTCCGAGAGGGGGCCCATGTAGACCCGGGATGCGCATCCACAGTGCTGCAGAGCACCCGCCCATGCGACGTGCCCGCCTCCGGGAGTCCCGGCAGGCTCCGCGGCCGCACTGCAGGCAGCACGCCCTTGAAGCACGGGCGCCCCCTGGGCTGGCCATTCGGGCGAGAGCCCCGTTCCCAGAAGAGGCTGCTCTGCATTTGCCAGCCTGGAACAGATCCCTATCCCTATGCTGGGCACCTCCTCCTCACAATGCCAATCTTAGGGATTCCCTTATGTTTTGAGGGCGGATCCCTGAGATTGTCATCGCCTTTTGGCGAGTCAATCTTGGGGACAGGGATACGTTCGAGGCTGGTAATGCATCTTTCCAGCGGAGCGTGAGGAACGTGAGAAGAGAGGTTTAGACTCAGGTCGGGCGTGTCACTCCAGAGGCGGATCTTGGACGACACATCCAGCGTACCAGAAACATAGCTACATTCCAAAAACTGTGTGTAAACTACTTTTGAACGTTCCCCCTGTAGAGGGGCAGGCCCGACTGAAGTTTAGAAAGAGCAGCGGGGGGTCCAGCGGGAGCCCCTCTTGACAAGCAGCCGACCCCCCTCCGCGCACGCGTACGTGAGCCTAAACCTTCCGGTCATGGATTCGCGGACGTCTCAAGCGCTAGCCCAATAATTAACGGGCGAAGAACGGTATAAAATGATATTTTTCGCTGTCGGGGGCGCCTGTCCCTGGGCGGCTGGAAAGTTTATACCCTTACGGTGGCACCGTAGGGGTATAAACTTTCCAGCCGCGCTGGGGCAGGTGTCCCCGACGGCGAAAAAGTTTATTTTATACCGTTTTTCGCCCGTTAAAATAATGACGAAGGAACCGACCTCCATCTGCGCAACTTTTCCATCGGTTCAAGCTCCTTGCCGCAGGGTTGGATAGCATCTCGAGGGAGACCCAACTTATGCATCAAATTGTGCCCGTCGAGAACTCTTACAGTGTTTTATGAAGCGCCGGTGCTCGCTAGATTGTTGTAGTGAGGCGGCCCTCGGCCTTCCTCGCTTCGCGGGTCTTGTTCCTTGTTTTCCTCCCTCGGGTTCCCAAGTCTTGTTCCTTGCCTCCTGCCTCGGGCTCTCTGGTTCTGGCCGTCTTCAGTTCCCATGCCTTTTGTTCCTTGCCTTCCCTCCTGCGCAGTGCCAAACAATGCAAAACAACGCCACGGCATGCTACGCAATGCCAGGAAGTGCCAGTCAATACCAAGCAACGCCAAGCAAGGCCAAACAGTGAAACACAATGGCAAGCAGCACCGAGCACCGCCGAGCAATGCCAACATGCCAAGCAACGACAACAACTGACAAGCAATGCCAAGAAACGTCAAACGATGCAGGGCAGTGCTAAGCGACTCCAAGCATTGCTACTCCAAACAATGCCAATCGATGTCGTCCTTGCTGCGCTATTTACTTACAACACTTCTCCTGATTGTGGTCGCGCCAAGATGAATCGAATAGGAGCCGTCACCCACCCTTGTGAAAGTTGCAGCATCTTCTATACACATGTGCGCGGCACCACGGCGAGGCCCCCATTTTGAAAGCCCACTGCCCCGTATGCGCATACCTGTTGAAATGTGCCAAACGGAACTGGCGTGACGATGGAGTGATATCCGCTTTTTGAAAACCAGTCGCCCTCCCTCCATAGACACGTCGTTCATTTCTAATCGTGCTCATTTCTAATGGTGCTCATTTCTGACTGTTCCTGGCCCCCTAGTGGCCAGGAAGAGGCCCAGGATGGAACAATTAGAAATGAAAGGATCGTGGCCCACTTTCGAACACTTAGAAATGAACCATGTGTATGTAACTGTAGTAAGTTTTTAAAAGGCGAAGGCGCGTGGCGCAAAGGCGAGGTCCACGTCTTGAGAAGGAGCCGCCCTTCATCCTGGCGGCTGTAGGAACTGTCGTGCTTCAGGGTTAGAATCGGGTCGGGCGTGTCCCCCTACAGGCAGATTTTGACGAAACAAATCAAACAATACATCAAAATGCTCCAAACTATTCAAACATAGTTCACAGACTATTTGTTTTACTAATTTTGTATAATCTCAAGGTTATGAGTGGTGAAATCTCAGACCAAACGCCCAGCGCGCCCTACAGACTCGTCTGGTGGCGCGACAGGGAGGAGTCAAGGAAGCAAGAAAACGGGACGGAGGAGAAAGATGCGGGGCTGAGATGGGGCGGAGCGTCGGACACAACGGGCCGTGCTCCATGCATGCGCAAACCAGGGCCAGGAAACGGAGAGGTCGGAGGGGGTGGATAACAGAGAAAAATGCGGGAGGGGGGACCCGGACCCCCGACTTCACGATTTCCGCTGAGCCCATGGATGTCACAACCCCTTCTCCAGGGCCACATTGTAATCCTGAATGCTTTTGTGGCGGTCCCGTCAACAACATTGCGCCAGGGCTGGACCTCAACGTTGTTTTTCTTTTTTTCCCAACCCTCCTGCGTTGGGTTCTCGTTTTGAATAGAGCACTGCTCGCGCGTCTCCTTCCCTCCCTTCTTCCTTCCCTCCTTCCCCCCTGCCTTTGACCTCGCCATCCCTGGGGGGCTGCGATCTGTGAAACTGTCGCCACTTTCGAGGACTGATGGGGGGCCCAGCGCAGTGGGTACCCACCGCGGACTCAAGTTAGACCTCGCCATCCCTGGGGGGCTGCGATCTGTGAAACTGTCGCCACTTTCGAGGCGTACTGGGGGGCCCAGCACAATGGGTATCCACCGCGGACTCAAATTAGACTTCGCCATCCCTGGGGGGCTGCGATCTGTGAAACTGTCGCCACTTTCGAGGCCTGCTGGGGGGCCCAGCGCAGTGGGTACCCACCGCAGACTCAAATTAGACCTCGCCATCCCTGGGGGGCTGCGATCTGTGAAACTGTCGCCACTTTCGAGGCCTGCTGGGGGGCCCAGCACAATGGGTACCCACCGCGGACTCGAATTAGACCTCGCCGTCCCTTGGGGGCTGCGATCTGTGAAACTGTCGCCACTTTCGAGGCCTGTTGGGTGGCCCAGCACAATGGGTACCCACCGCGGACTCAAATTAGACCTCGCCACCCCTGGGGGCTGCGATCTGTGAAACTGTCGCCACTTTCGAGGCCTGCTGGGGGGCCCAACACAGTGGGTACCCACCGCGGACTCAAATTAGACCTCGCCACCCCTGGGGGCTGCGATCTGTGAAACTGTCGCCACGTTCGAGGCCTGCTGGGGGGCCCAACACAGTGGGTACCCACCGCGGACTCAAATTAGACTTCGCCATCCCTTGGGGGCTGCGATTAGTGAAACTGGCGCCACTTTCGAGGGCTGCTGAGGGGCACAGCACAGTGGGTACCCACCGCAGACTCAAATTAGACCTCGCCATCCCTGGGGCGCTGCGATCTGTCAAACTGACGCCACTTTCGAGGGCTGCTGAAGGGGCACAGCACAGTGGGTACCCACCGCGGGCTCAAATTAGACCTCGCCATCCCTGGGGGGCTGCGATATGTGAAACTGTCGCCGCTTTCGAGGCCTGCTGAAGGGGCACAACACAGTGGGCACCCACCGCAGACTCAAATTAGACCTCGCCATCCCTGGGGGGCTGCGATCTGTGAAACTGGCGCCACTTTCGAGGGCTTCTGAGGGGCACAGCACAGTGGGTACCCACCGCAAACCCAGATTAGACCTCGCCATCCCTGGGGGGCTGCGATCTGTGAAACTGACGCCACTCTCGAGGCCTGCTGAGAGGCACAGCACAGTGGGCACCCACCGCAGACTCAAATTAGACCTCGCCATCCCTGGGGGGCTGCGATCTGTGAAACTGGCGCCACTTTCGAGGGCTTCTGAGGGGCACAGCACAGTGGGTACCCACCGCAAACTCAGATTAGACCTCGCCATCCCTGGGGGGCTGCGATCTGTCAAACTGACGCCACTTTCGAGGCCTGCTGAGAGGCACAGCACAGTGGGTACCCACCGCAGACTCAAATTAGACCTCGCCATCCCTGGGGGCCTGCGATCTGTGAAACTGTCGCCACTTTCGAGGGCTGCTGAGGGGCACAGCGCAGTGGGTACCCACCGCAGACTCAAATTAGACGCCGCTTTCGTCCTTGCTCTCCTCCTGCAGTCACCTTCCCTCTGTTGCTGCCGTGCTGATGGTTCGGCTTCCCGCACGTTTTTCTCCTGATCTGAGTTCCCGACTCCCCATGTCCTCTTTGAGCCTGTAGCTATCGCCCCTCGTTCTTGTATGGTTCTCCTGCGCATCATGCCATAGGCGCGTGTCCCACGTAGCTTACACACCAAGTTGATTGTCCATGCAAGTTTCGGCCGACTCATCGTTTCCATTGATACAAATGGGTTGGGCACGTCACAGAGTAATTGTTTTGTTTCGTTTACTGTACCTGTTCTCCTGTACCTCCCTGCCAAAACGAAAAAACAAAACCCAACCATAGTCCAGCAAAACAGCGCTCAGGTCCAGCCCTGCATTGCGCCCATCTGTTTTCGAAAACCGAGGGGGGGGCCTGGGAACAACTTTTTCACTTGCTGGGCGAGGCTACGAGGCACGGGGAGGACACGGAGGGAGCGGGGGGGGGCGTCCTCCGACCGGCAGGCCCCGAAGATTCCTCTGGCGTCGTCCCTCTTCGTGCCGATCGCGTCGCTGCCCCTCCTGGGCACTCGGGCTGCGCATGCTCTGCCCCATCTCTCCTACTGTGGAGGCCAGTCCACGAGAAACCTCCCACAAGAAACCAGACCCTGAGACCCCAGGACGTCCATCGATTTTTGGTGGGAACGTCACGCCTTCCACAGCAAAACTGTCGAAGCCCAAACCGTTTCTTGGCATGGGCCTCCACTGTGCTCTCTCTTTTCCCCACGCTCCCCTCGGCTCTCCCCCATCCCCCCG